TTAAAACAATGGTTGGATTACAGGTGGTCTTCAGATGGACTTCTACTGTGTTTTATACCTTTTCCCCCTTCTTCTGCATAGATTTATTTAGGAATCTGGGGAAATCTGCAAAGTGTTATAAAATGCCAGATGGAAGACGCTGCTCAACTTGATTTTGGTACTGATCCAGAACCAAGGAAGGAAATAGTCCTATTTGATAAACCAACAAGAGGAACCACTGTTGAGAAATTCAAAGAAATGGTGTATGGTCTTTTTAAAGTAAGTACATTGTAATGTATTCTATTTTGACAGAACTGCTTGTTTTCTTGAAGCTGGAGAGAACACCCTGTTATATGAGCCTTGTTCAAGGATATGCTAGAAAAATGATCAGCACAAAAATAGTTTTTCCCAGAGGTGCTTATCTCGAAGTTTGAAGTAATTAATTATCAGGGCTTTTTCCTTTTGATATGATGGAAGCTGGAATTCATCTTGTATGTCTATAGACTTTGCTAGTATTGGTATAGAAAACAGGATGCAAGGCTGATGTCAGTTGTCATGCGTTACACCAGCTTTGTCTCTAACAATGGTGAGCAGGTGCGTTAGGGTAGTTCCTAGCAAAATTTAGGAAAATTTGGTCTGCCTAGCTGAAAATGGAACAGTTCTGATTCCAGCAATGGCTTTTTTCTCTGTAGTCCTACAATAGAAGTGGTTACATCAAAAAACAAAACTAAGCACTTCAGTGTAATTATGGGATTTGTACTCAGTTTTGTCTTGGTACCCTTAATAATTGGACAAAATGTAATTCATAACATTATTCTTCTACATTTGTAAGGTCTAATCAACTGAAAACCAAACCTGATCTAAACTTTTGAATTCTGCATACTTTTTCTTAGAAACATTGAACAAGGTACTTGATGCAATTTTTCTAAAGACTGATCCAATTAAGACCAACGATGGAACCTCTGCAGACAGCTGATGGCTGGTCCTGTTACATCCATAACCAATGAAAACCAGAATATACCCAGTTATTCCTATTATTCATAGAAGGAGAGTAACAGGAGGTGGAGTGACAGATGGATTTGGAGTAGTTAATACAGTCATACTTAATCTTTTTAATTTGTTGCTTTTAGGCAAAACTGGGTGAACAAGGAAATCTTTCAGAACTGGTTAATCTCATCCTGTCTTTTGCTGATGGAAACAAAGATGGAAGAGTCTCTTTGCCAGAGGCAAAATCTGCATGGGCACTCCTGCAGCTAGAAGAGTTTCTGTTAATGGTGATCTTGCAGGATAAAGAACATACTCCCAAGCTGATGGGTTTTTGTGGGGATCTCTATGTGACCGAAAGAGTTGAATATACCTCCCTCTATGGAATCAGCCTTCCATGGATTATAGAACTCCTCATTCCCTCTGGCTTCAGAAGAAGCATGGACCAGTGGTTCACTCCATCCTGGCCAAGGAAGGCAAAAATAGCTATAGGGCTTTTAGAATTTGTGGAAGATATTTTCCATGGACCTTATGGAAACTTTTTAATGTGCGACACAAGTGCCAAAAATTTGGGATATAATGATAAGTATGATTTGAAAATGATGGACATGAGAAAAATAGTGCCAGAAATTAATCTAAAGGAAATAATTAAAGATCGTCAGTGTGACTCAGATTTGGACTGCACTTATGGTACAGACTGTAGAACATTATGTGACCAAAGCAAAATGAGATGTACCACTGAAGTAATTCAGCCAAACTTGGCAAAAGCTTGTCAGCTCCTTAAAGACTATCTGCTTCGTGGTGCTCCTTCTGATATCCATGAAGAACTAGAGAAACAGCTGTACTTGTGCATTGCCCTTAAAGTCACAGCAAATCAGATGGAAATGGAGCACTCTTTAATACTCAATAACTTAAAAACTTTACTGTGGAAGAAGATTTCTCATACAAATGATTCGTAGCTTCTCCACCAGCAGAAGAGAATAGTGATGCCTGCCATTAGAGTTGGCCTGAGACATTTGGCAAAAACAATCTGCACCTTTTTAAAAAGGTATTTCTTTAGTCAGATTTTGTTAATGGTTCTTTCAGTCCTGCCCTTCAGTCAGTAACACAGGACAGGGCTTCTCAAAGAATGAACATGCCTGAGTGACCAAGCAAAGGCCAGAAGTCCTTCTGGTGTTCAGTGCTGTGTTACAGAAACAAGAACTCTGCATGCTTGACTGTTCTGTGCACTTTGTCAGATCTTGAACAGAATGTAAGTGTTCACTGTGCCACCACATCAGCTGAGGGAACATCTTCCATTTCTGTGAAAAACATTGCTCACTTGTGAAATATCTGCAGAGCATTTTTTTTCCTAAGTAGTTTTATGAAGAATCACCACTACTATAAGTAATGTGTCCAAATCCAAGCTGCTGTTATGAATAAACTGAACTGTGAGACTGAAGTTTACTAATACCTTGGCATGGCAGAATTTGCACATGAAATACTTTTTAACTGTGGAAAATTAGAATGATTCTAGAATGGATAGTTGTAATACGAGACAAATCAGATTCTGTTTACACATTGTTACCTCATGCTTACATCTTTAATGTTTAAGTAGTTCAACATTTTTAATTGAGTCATTATATGGTGAGCCCTGTGGGAGCCAACAATTTTAGAATATTATTTCTTAAAGTCATCTATATGGTTTTACAGCAATACCAGCATCTGTTTCAAAGACTTCAGTGGAAACCTTTAACCCAAATTAAGCTGTAGCAAACAGTGAAAAGCAAGGACTTTGTGGACTAAGCTATAGTAAAAAAAAATCAATTTTTAAAAATACTGAATAGCAGATGTGTCCAACCAGTTAAAAATGAAAGTCTGCATAGTGCAGGAATCTGCTGTATGACATGAGAAACAATTAATACTTGTGGATAGTCTTGCCTCTTAACTGTCCCTCTACATTTAGCTACAGACTTGTACTTCAATACGTAAGCAAGAGCTAGACCTGAATTTTAGGACAGAAGCTGGATTGTTCAGGATTGTGCAATATTGCTCAAATGGGAGCCTATGAGATAATTTTCAGCTCATTCCTTGCTGTTACTAAGTGAGCTGCAGTGTGATACTATTCTTTTTTTCTAGTAGCATCTATGAGTCACTGTTAAGACTCAAGTCATGAGTAAACAAACATCACCTGATACTAGCACTCCACAAAGCATGACCACTTTACCACCTTTAATCTGCACCCTTGTATTTTTCATATTTACATCTGTGTTCATAACTATGCAGAATTGGATGTCCATAATACACCTGAATTCAATACTTACCTGTTGAATGTTTAACTTATAAATGCTTTAGGTATAGAGTTGTTCAGTCTCTATGATTTTAATGGCAGTCATCTGTATACTTCTGTGTCCTGGCCCCTTAATTCATTTTCAGCAGAAGTAAGAACAAGGTTTGAGTACTTGAAAGGTTAACTGCTCTAGGTATCCCATCTTAAATGCATTCCTAGAATGATGATACTGAAATACAGACCACAATAAAGTAATTTCTTCATACCAAATGTAGTAATATGCAGCTTGGGTTAAGATAGTTTTGTGAACATCAGCCTTTTCATTTAAGAAATGCTATGCTCATGCTAATTATTGTCTTGAACTTGCTAATGTGCTCCAACTATGAACAAGTAAGTATTTGTAACCAGCAATACACTAAAAGTGTAAAGTGGTCATGTTCTTGTGAAAAAAATCTGACAGTGACTGCTATCTGGGCAGAGATTACTTAATAATGCCCAACATCACTGGGTATCTTAACTGGAGAATATGTTTAATAGTGCGGTTTGTTGTACACAACCTTCATTTTTATTACTGTTGCTTTCATTGGGAAAAAAAGTATACTTTTGTTTACAATAAATCACAGGCCTCTTTTTTTTCAATAACAGTATTTATACCAACTACCAGTATCTTAAAGCAAAACATTCCTCCATCTAGTCTACTTTACTGGTGTTTAAACTGTGCAGTTTCTCTAAGTCTAGTAGAAACCCAATGGCACACAGAAGTGCCTGTGAAACTGAGGAGGTAAAGGACCAGGGCAGGACAAGGCTGGTGAGGAACATTTCCAGGTGGCTCAGCCTGCAGAGGGAAATACAGACTGGGCTCTGGGTGGGAGCCAGCCTTTAGGATAAGGAGATGAAAGCTGGTGATTGGTGAGGTGGATGGACACGGAGAAGGAAACAGAAGACTGAGGAAGTGCAGACTGGCATCAGGGGGAGGGGAGGGAGTGTGAGGGTATAAAAGCCATGGGCTGCTCCTCAGAGGGACCATCTCCATTTGTTCCTGCACCAGGAATAAACTGCCTTGTGGAACCAGATAGTGTGGGCCCTGCTAAGGGAACCCTAGGGGTGAACTGGAAGGGAACATGGTCTGGTGAGTGTGTGGAGAGTCAAGGGGAACGGCTCTGGGGCTCTGGTGTGTAATTACCAGGGAGTCTCATTAATGTTTCCTTAAGGCCTCTGTACCTACCCCCTATATACAACTTAAAGTGAATTCTCTTATCATGTAAATAATGTGAAGTACTCAGTTCAAGACAGTACCTGTTTCAGTAGCAGCCAAAGCTTGGACGTGACAAGTGCCTGAAAGCCTAAGGTTACCTTTGGGCAGAGGCTTTAGAACCTACTGTGACTACTCTTGCTTTTTCCAAAGCTACATCCAGAGTCCCCCCCGACATGAAGTATGCTGAAAGAGTTGTAAAATACAGGTACAGCCTTAAAAAAAAAATTAAACCTTTCTCTAGTTAGAAGCAGTAAAGTCTTATACTTAGTCCTTGATACTAACCATGCTAAAAATTAATTGAATTGACTTCCTCCTTCTTATAGAAGTAATTCTGATGCAGTAGCCTTGGTCTTTGAAGTCTGTCACCTCTCTTCTCTGTGAAAACTCAATTCACATAGTACTTGGAGAGGAGAGAATAAAACTCATTCAGGTACAGAATACCTAATAAAAAATAAAAAGGATTAAAACATTCTCTATTTTTATAAACTATACAAATAAGCTGGTCTTACACAGTTGCTTCCTCAATAAATTTATTGCCACTTTTTCCAAAGCTTCACAGAAAGCTGTGGAAGTTGTCTTAGCTCTCCGTCCTGCGCTCCTGGGCCCTGAGGAAGCTGGCCTTCTTCTGAGCAACACGGTCTTTCTTCTGGGCAAGAGACATCTTGGGACAGTTCCATCTGTAATGGAAGCACAGTGTGCAGTAGATCCAAAGCAAAAAAGTAGCACTGCATCACAATTGTGATTAAGAATGCAGTGGAGAATATATTCCCACTTCTGTAACGTGCTTCATTTCCTCATAATGATCTAAGGCTGTAGTTAATACACTGCAAAAAGCATGGCTGGACAGTTCTAATTTCTCCAGAGGTAAACTCTGTATTCTCTGTAACTGAAGCATAGACATTATCAAGCCCAGTGCAACAGTTGTGTCTTGATTTCTTTTCTCACAGACCCTTAAAAATCAAAACAGTTTGGTACTGACAAAATAGTCAATGAGCTCTCAGCTGAAGAGAAGCAACTTTCCCCCTGAAAACACTGAGACCTGAAGGTACACACTGTTCCTGCTATTCAAGCCACAAACATTCTTCACTTTGATTTTTTAAATACTTAAGAGCTCTTGAATTATATATTCCTACTGCTAAATTTAACTCTGAAGTTATACAGAATGCTTGTATCTTAATCTAGTCCAGAACACATAACTAATGATGCAACTGCAAAACTGCATTACTTGTTTCACTGTAGTTAAGGTATCTCCAACAGAGAAGTCACAGAGATGTTAAAAAGAATGAGAATTTTACCTCTTTTTCTTCACGTCTCTCTTGGGTTTCTTTTCATGGACTGGATTATCCCGTATAGCAGCATGGGCTTTTTTATACATTTCTTCCATCTTGAGAAAAAAAAGAAAAATACTAAATTTACCATAGTGGTCCAGTTGTAGAATTATAAGAAATCCTTGTGCCTGCATTGTCCCCAGGCATGCAATGTTGCTCTATCCCAAAGGCAATTCTGGCTTTGCTGGTGGTTAATTCAGACCACTAGATCTCAGCTGTGAAACTTTTTCGATGTACAAAGAGCAAGTGTCTATATAGTGACTAAATCCTAGACTCACTTCATTTGAATACAAGCTATAACTACTATTTGTTTAGAAAGCAGATGAAGTTGGCATTTACATTACTTTCCATTTATAATTTATTAGAAAAAACTAGCAACTAGTAAAATTTATAAAAACCCCAAAACCCCAAGGAAAGAAGAGATAGTTTGCTGTAAAAAGGGGATATAGGGAGCTATGTTTTAAAGCTCCAAGATCACTTACTAGGAGAATCAAGCAAGAATATTACAGGCAGCAGGACAAGCTATCTGGAAGGAGTTTAATACTTGGAAAAACCAGAAGAACCACCTCTGTATTCTTACCCATCTTCTAATATTTTATTAACTCTAAAATGTGAAGCAGTACTAAAATAAAGTGTATTACAGTCTAAACTTTCATTAAATACTACCTTGGGCTCTCTCTATTCACCTGGAATAGCAGAACCCCCTTCTAGGGTCACACAAACAGTCCCAGAGATTTGACCCACAACCACATGCCCACCAACAGTTACAAGCACTACAGCTGCAGAAATGACAGGTCGTGGGGCAGAATAAGGAAAGAACAGAGAGTCTGTACAGAAACTTCTAATCTAGTTCCTTTGTTGGGGATGGGAGAAAGTGGTCCAGTAAGCCTGGATTTATAGGCAGAATATTAAGTTTCAGAGCAGGAAAAAAGGTCCCCCTTTCAGAAGTTCTACACTTACATTATAGAGCCCTTAATGAAGGAAAAAAATATTTTCTTTGCGTGGGTAACATACAACATGAGTCACATAGTTTTATGTATCAGCCTTATTTGCATTATTAGAGAAGTCCCTATCAGCATCTCTATTTAAATTCCCAAGCTCCAGCTGGATAAATCTTACCCCATCAGGTGTTACGTTGTTCTTTATGTACTGGGAGAACTGTTTCTTGTAGGCATCTTCATCCTCCTCCATCAGGTACCGCATGTAATCGGCCACGTTCTGGCCCATGATGTGCTTGCGGTGAACCTCAGCATTGAACTCTTTGCTCTCCGAGTCGTAGCCAGGGAAACGTTTGGTGCTGTCAAACAGCAGGTACAGTCACATTAAGGCTCTAATTCAGAGGCTAAGATGCACACTGAAATGACTCATAGATCAGATTCTCCTACCGGAGGGATAGGACCCTCTAATAAAAACTAAAATGAGAAGTTTTAAGTTAATCTCAGCTGCCATCAGTCCCGTCTTGAAACACTGCAGTACGTCATATACACGCCATGGACCAACTACAGCGTGTTCAGTCACTGCAAGTATCATCATGTAGCAGCCAACTCAAAAGAACTGGACAATTAGCCAAGGATAGGACAGCATGGGAGAGGGTAGGAAAACACACAAAAGATCTCAATAGTTTCTCTCCTCCACCGCTGCTAGGAGAAAGCAGCACTCACACGTAATACCAGTGTTAGGTAACAGTCCAAATATCCATGTGGACATTCTAAATGAAGGTGGACTGCTCAGACACACTGCTGTAATGACAACTGTAGCAAGTACCAGTGGGTTTGTACCTGGTATGTAGTTTTTCACAGTGAAATTAATACCTACACACAACTTAGTGAAGACTTGCATTAAGAAAATACCCTCTGAAGATCTGATAAGGGCATTCACTTGATTTTTGGTAAAAGCAACAAGATAATTCTTTAGTTTCTACATGTTTCATAACATCTCTTACCATTTGTACATCAGTATAAAATTATTTCAGCATAAATTGATTAGTGTAAGTAGACTGTCACATACAGATGCATCTCAGGCTAACCCTGAAGAAATTCTTTGCAATACACATTACCTATGAGGGATAGACAGCCCCCCGTCCACTGCACCCTTCAGAGCACCAAAGACTTTGTTTCCAGTGGTAGTTCTGGCAAGACCCGCATCCAGGTAGCATGTAAAAGCACCAGGCTTGCCATCCACACTTTCCACATTGTATTCATCACCAGTGACTTCAACTTGGCCTTCATAGATCTTATCAAGGCCAAATTTATTCAGAAGCTGTGGGGAAAGAAAACACACTTTTGAAATTCCCTCCATTTATTGATAATAATTTAGAATTACCACTACTTTAAAATGTGAATTTGCAGTAGAATCAAGCTTTTAAAATTTTTCTTTACAAAATTATGTACCCAATACTAACAGCAAAGCTTTTTAATAACTACCACTGTGTGTCTGTTAAGTTCCAACCTTCTGCTCCCACAGGTACACCATGAACTTAAGACTTATTAATGAACCCCTGTGGAAATGGATGGCTGCTGTTCACATGTTTTTAAACTCTACAAGGTGCATTTCTTACATTTTTATGCTCCCTCCCTCCACCAAACTTAAGGGCTGAGACATAAAAGTGGGCTGCTGAAGCTGAGACCGCATGCTGTCATACCTCCCACTGCGACTTGACAGTCACAAGACATGCCAAATCTATGATGGCAAAGAGCAGAAGTTACGCTTTTGAGAAGCCCAATGACTCGGTGGGCTGACACAGCAGGGAAGGAAGCGGTGTCTGCTCCCCGAGGGAGCCAGCGCAGCAGCCCCGGCCGTGCCGTACGTACCCTGCGCGCCAGGAGCAGGCCGGTGCAGTAGGCAGCAGCGTAGTTGGTCAGGCCCACCTTGACGCCGTACTTGGGCAGCTCGTGGGCGTAGGCAGCGCACACGATCATGTCCCCCTCGATCCTGGCATAGGCAATCTGGCAACACACAAATGTCAGGGCTCATGTGTTCTTCCTCTGCCACCTACTCAGGCCAGCACAAACGCTGGATCTGAGTGTGCAAAACCTGCCAACCTCTGCATGTGAGCTCAAGGAGTGGTGTGGCTTTGGTTTGTTGGGGGCGTGGTTGTTTGCTCTGCCACCTCCCCCCCCCACCATGCTTTGTTTGTTTTTGCAAAAGGAGTAATCAGCTCTTCAAGTAAAGACACAAAAGTTCAAACCTGTATTAGGCCAGTTAAAATGTTTGTCAGCAACAACTGGCAACTACCTTTCCACAGAGACAAAGAGGTCAGAAAGAGCCTACAAAAGCAACCCTTCAAAGAATCATTATGAATGGAGATTAATTCAATCCCACTTTAGGATACATCTCAAAAAATACAAGAAGCATGTGACACTTTGTGTTAATACTGTTAGTAACCGTATGGAATGATTTTATTAATCATGATCTAAGACCATCATGATCCCAGGGTCTCCTGTGGGACAGCAGGACTATCAGAAGTTCCTTTCACAGATAGAACCTTCTCCTTTTGACTCTCACTCCTCCTCTCTGCATCCAAATGCTGTCCCATTTTTCAGGATTCTGATATCCTGGAAAGGGACTATCAGTCAGATGTAAGCCCCTGCAACCATTGATTTTCATTTTAAGTTTCAAAGATAAAATAACCTCATTAATGACTGAACTGTTCTCATCAGATAACTACTCTATGAAAATCTTAAGTTAAACTTAGCTGCTTCTTTTTGAGCTCAACAACATATTTATTATAAAACAAGCATTCAGAAATTTTTAACTTCAAAATTAGTCAAAACATTCTAAAAATTAAACAAGTGAGCCACAATGAGGAACTGCATATGCTACACACAACTGCATAGGTGCCTACTGTTCTTGTTTACAAGTCTCCTTCAATCTCACAGGAAAGGCACCATAAGGCCTCAGAGCTTCACATGAGCCACACAACATGGAAACTGAACTCTCAAAAGAGAAGGCACCTTTCGATACAACACAAGTCAATACAGATTGACAGGTCATGCTACCAACTTTGTTTTCTTCAGCCAAGCAAAAAAGGCCTCTTTTTGAAGCCCTTTGAAAATAGTGAGACACATCTTCCCTCTCCCAAAAATGTTCTACTTAGCCCATTATCATTACAGCAGTACAATCGTGCACTACAAATAACTTCACAACAAAAGTGCTAGCACTTGTGAAACTGCTTTTCTACAATGCACACGGTTTATTACTGAAGCCTGTCCTCCTCTAAGGAGCTCTTTTACAACACAAACACTGTGCAGGCCTGGCCTAAGAAACCCCAGGTGCTCCAAGCCTCCCTCTCTGTGCTGACCTCACCCTGGCCAGGCTGGCAGGTAAGCAGCAAACACTGCAGGCCTTACCTGGCAGATGATGTCTCTGTTGGTAACGCGCACAATCATCCTGTATTTAGGAGTGTTGTACTTGTTTTTATCTTGAATAACCAAACGCTTGCGAGCATAATAGTCAGTTTTCCCCTCTGAAAAACAACAGTTGCATTGTGCAAAATGCGTGCACAAAGTAGGAATATTCACCAAGGGCATTTAATTATGTGCTACAGGTAATTTAATAATACCTCTCCTTCTCCTGAATTTCACTTGGTATCTCTTGAAGTACGCCTTATTCTTGACAACCTTCACAAACCCCTTAGATAAGAAACATAAACTACGTGTTATTAACATATAACCCTGTAAGCCAACACCATTCTAACTAAACGTACCATGAATAAAACCATGGAAGAAGCAGTAATTATACAGTTTCTTGTACGTTTAGATGAAAAGAGCACTGTAAAAATTAAATAGAAAAAAAAACCCACTCCGCACATCAAACCCTATAAATTTTACCCCTCCACAGGAACTAAGGCTTCAAGAGAGAACCAAAGCGCGTCTATTATGAAAGTAGCTTTTAACCGAAGGCCTGTCCGCACGAACCGGAGCAATGGCCGTGCTCACTGCCTGTCACCCCCGCACAGTCGTGACTTCTCTGGCACGTTCTGCCACGGAGCCGCTTCCCGCGCAGCCCCCCGCCCTCAGCCGCTCCGACACCCGCCCGCGGGGCCCGGCGCGGCTGCTGCAGGGCACCCGGCCCCGCGGCTCGGCCCCGGTCCCAGCCCCGCGGCTCGGCCCCGGCCCCGGCCCCAGCCCCGCGGCTCGGTCCCAGCCCCGCGGCTCGGCCCCGGCCCCGGCCCCGGCCCCGCTCGAGCCGCCCGCGGCGCAGCCCCGGCAGAACGGCAGCCATTGCCACGCCGGCGTCGGGCGGCCGCCCCGAGCGCACGACAATCGGGCTCCATCCGCGCGGGCGGCACGGCGCGGCGGGCGCGGAACGACGGACGCGATGCCCCCGAGCCCCCCCATGCCGGTACCGACCATCGTGCCAGGCACTGTCCGGTCCCTCAGGCCGGGGCCCGCTCCGCACAACGACTGCGCTCCGCAGCAAACGGGAAAAGGCCGCGCGCGCCGCGCAGCCGCAGCTCCTGCCCTGCGCGGCGGGGCGGGGCCGCCCGCGCGCCGTGCTGCCCCCTGCCGGCCCGGCGGACCCACCGCGGGCGGCTCCTGCGGGACCGCTCCCTGCGGGACCGCTCGCTGCAGTAGGGGAGGTTCAGGATGGACATTGGAAGGTTTTCTTCACAGAAAGAGTGACTGGACATCGGAATGGGCTGCCCAGGGAGGTGGTGGAGTCACCGTCCCTGGAGGGGTTAAAGACTGGACATGGCACTCAGTGCCTGGTTTAGTTGACAAGGTGGTGTTCAGTTAAAGCTCTGACTTGATGATCTCAGAGGTCTTTTCCAACTTAATTGATTCTGTAATATCAGAGAAACACAATGCTGAGGGAAAAATAATAATCCTACCATCTCATGTCTACACATAATGCATTATCACTTTCAAGTCTCTTTATGTTAAATGACTGGGTAATTATTAGCCAGAAGTATATCACAGAGAAGAGGTTCTTAAACAGAAAGAAGTCCATGGATTTGATCTTTTAAAAAGTCACCAATTACGTGTATGTTATAGGATTTTAATTCCTGTCATTTTCTAGGGAAAATTCTCACAACCTATCAAGTAGCAAATAATTAATAACACCAAACAAAACAAAATCTTAATTGAATACTATTCTTACAATAAACTATAGCTGCTTGGTCCTATTGATATTTGATGCATTAAAGCAAGAATATACACTTGCACATACATATATATATACACACATTGGATCAATGTGTATATATATACATATATATATATTGGATCAAATAGGTCAAGTGGCATCAGGTTTCTTGACACTGTCAGACAATAGTGAATCTTCATTCCTGATGCATTTGTCTGGTCATACTCATTCATTTCACTCAAAAAATATCAACAATTCACATTACTAGTTATACATAAGCCATTATTTAAAAAATATTAGTTTGATATAAATAACAAAGAAAAAAAAACAAAAGGGGTTACTACATCAGGCAAATACCAGCATGGACCCTTCTTGGTAGGGACCAGCCAGCTTCAGAAGTAATTTAACTGTTTGAAAGGATGTTGTAGCAAGATGGAGATTAGCCTCTCCTCCCTGGCAACTAGGGACAAGAGAATGTAGCCCCAAGCTGTGCCAGGGAGGTTCAGGTTGAGTATCAGAAAGAATTTTTTCACTGAAAAGGTGGTTAGGCTTTGGAAGTAGCTGCCCAGGGAGGTGGCATAGTCACAATCCCAGGAGTTAAAGAAATGGCTGGATGTGGCACTTAGTGCCTTGGCTTAATTGGCAAGGTGGTGATCAAAGATTGGAATCAATGATCTTGGAGATCTTTTCCTAAGAACCTAAGTGAAAAGTGATTTTGTGATTTAAGAATTAATTTTAGAAAGCTCAGAATTCTATGTGCTTTTCAATTTGTACAGAAAGTATCAGAGCACTTTTTTTTCTCCCCTCTGGCATATAAATCCATTGTCTTCAAAAATTCTGCTGCTAATACTGGGCAATTACTTCCATGACAAATACCTCACAGACAATGTATCATAAGCAAGACTTGTTAGTCTTTTTGTTAAGCAAGGAAAACCAAAATCGATTTCTTGCTCTTCTCTGTAAAAAGACTTTTTACTCCTCAAATACCTCACCACGGTAAAAATCAGCCTGGTAACCTACCACACCCACATACTTTCTTGCTCATTGCCACCCTGCAAAATGGAGACTCCAGCTGGGTTTATTAGCCCCACCCCCAGCAGCTCTTACAAATTCAAGGTGAATGACTCCTCTGGGTTTTTTTCCTCTGGCTTTTAGTGACAATGTTTGTTGGAAGGGTGACTGCTATTCATACACACTCTGAACACGTTAAGGTAAAAGTTAGTATTTTCAGTACCTTAATGAAGTACCTTTTTTTCATGACACATTGATATGGGGGAAAGTATAAGCTTTCTCTTTTTTCCTTTAATGCTATTTCTCTTATATGTGGTATTTTTACTTAGGTGTGTTCTGGAGAGCAGGGTGTCAAGCAGGGGTTTTAGAGCAATGTCTAGTACCTATAAGTCTCTTGGACTGGTGAAAATGATGCTTGAGCAGCATCTCCTACAAGCAGGAACCCTCTCCCTGCAGAGGACTGAAGGCAGTAAGGCTGTTGTATGTGACTGGACTGACCCTTGTGGTCACTTGTAGGAATTGGTTTGGATTTTTTTTTGCTGCTGCTTGCAGGAGTGACAGCCTTATTTCAATGAACAAAGAATTTAGCTGAAGGCCTGGTGATAACCTATCGCTGCTATTGCTGCATGCTTTTTTTTTTAAAGAATGTATTCTTTGCATACTTGGCTATAAAGTAGTGTTGGAGAGGACTGTATGTATGCTGGTATTCATAAATATTTTAAAATAAAAAACATTTATTAGACGTTTTATTAGAATTTTTTTCCAAATGAAAATTTCCGTATGGTTTTATTTAGAGTCTCTACTCGTTGTAGAAGAACAATGGCGAATGGGCTCATTATTAGATGGGGAGCCGCTGCGGGCAGAACAGTGTCTCAGCTGTTTGTGTAACCTAATCGGCATCTGGCAGAAACGCGTCTGACAAACGCGGCAGGGACGGGCCCGCCTAGCCCGAGGCGGTGGCGCTGCCGGAGAGCGCGCTGCCGTGCGCAGCTCCCGGCGCAGAGCCGGCGCTGCGGAGATGCCCGGGCAGACGCTCTGAGCGCACCCAGCCCCGGCTCTCCGCGGAGCGGGGCTCCGCCTCGTGCGGCGCCGCGCTGCCTTCGTGCCGCCGCCGTGGGGAGCGAGCGCGGGCGGCGGGGATGCCGCGACCCGGGGCCGGGCGGGGGCTCGGCTCACGGCGGAGGCGGCACCGGTGACACAGCGGGAGACCCGCGCGAGGGCAGCACACGAGCGCGCTGCGGAGACGGCTCGCCGGCCGGCCGCCCAGCGCAGGGTACCGGGAGCCCCGAGACCCGCGGGGACGGCCGCGGCACCACCCGGGAGCAAGCGCCGGTGGGTTCCCGCCGGCGGGCCCGCGGGCTGCGGCCGCCCGCAGGCAGCGCGGCGGGGCAGAGCCGCCGCCGCCCCTCCCGGCGGGCCCGCGGGGCCGGCGCTGCCCCTCGCGGCGGCTGCGCGCCCAGTGCGCCTGCGCGCGGCGCGGGCAGGGACGTGGCCCGGGAGCCGGGGCCGGCGGAGCGGCGCGCGGGGCTCGGCGGGGCGCGGACGCCGATGCCCGCACGCGCCGCCGCTTCCCGCCGCGGGCAGCGCTCCCAAGGTGAGGCGCGCCGGGCGCGCGGCCCCGCCGCGGGGGCGGAGGGCGGCCGGGCCCGGGCGGGGCGCGGCGATCGCGGCCGCGCCGTCCCGCGCCCTCGGGCGCCGGCGGCGGGGCCGGGCCGAGCGGTGCCGGGGCAGCGCCGGCCGCCCCCGTCCGGGCCCTCCCGGCGCGGCGGGCGGCGGAGCGGACGGCGCCGCCGGGCGGGGTGTGGGGAGGCCGGGCTGCGCGGCCCTGCCCGGCTCGGGGGCCGCGGGGCCGGCGTGTCGCCGTCCCTCCGCCCCTCGGCCCGGCGGGACACGAGTGGGCAGCGGGCGCGGTGGAAGCGCCCTGAGGCACCGGTGGCGGGAGGCGCCGCGGCCCGGGGAGCCTCCGGCGGGTCTGTCTGCAGAGGGTGGTTCTTCCTCGGCTTATCGCGTAATGCCGGGCCGGGAACCCGCGGGTCTGTCGTTCTAGAGCGAGATAATTTGCAAATACGGGAACTCCTGGTGCATCAGCCTGAACGTGGTTATATAATGAGGGTAAAAAGTCGATAATAATGTTCTGGCTACTTATATATTCCAGGTTAAGTTATTCTGTTATGGCCGTGCTTCTGTGCTTCCGTGTAACACCTGCTAATCGTCAGCATTGATAAAGCAATTTTGTGACAAAGGAGAAGTTGGCTTATACGATTTTCAATTTCCATTGTGAGCTGCCATTAACACTGCCTGCATCAAAACATTGCACTCTGCATCACTCTAGGATAGCTCTTTTTTTTTTTTCAAAGATCACATACAAAAGACATAGAAAGTAGACACTAATACAGAGAAGGACAGATAATATTCAATATGTTTTACTTATCTCCAAAAATATTTGCAAAAAATAAAGCAATTTTTTTTTTAATTCACTTTGTTTCACATGTTTGAAGGAAATGGCAGTTGGATCTTGTTTGCTTTACTGGTATATAGCATTAAAATGTTTTTATAAATGTGCCTGTTTATGTCTCTTCCCTTTCCCAGTGTGAGTTGTCAGCTTTGATCACAGCCTGTATTTATGCGTATAAAGATTTAAGGCTTATTTTGAAGTGCATAGATATGAGTTCTTTCTCAAGTAAGGATTAGGAGAGGAAATAGAGACAGCCAGTGAAAGAAGGGTATGATCAGGAGGAAAGCACTCAGTATTATGAGTCAGCATTGCCTGAATTTTATCAAGTGGGCTGACAGCAGCTGTAGTGATTGTCACTGAGTGTCCATCGAGCCCCACAGTACTTTGAAGAGGAACAGATGTTTGGAGAAGAAAGCTTCAACAAAACAGCCCTACTTCCTTCCCATATCTTTTCCTACACTCTCACAGGTTGAGGCTTAAGCGCTTCCTGAGCTACAGCTGGTGGCTTGGATATTTTGTTCTGGTAGTGTTGGTTTGTTTGGTTGGGTTTTTTCGAATTGCTCTTTGTATCTTTGTCTTCTGTGGACTTGTTTAATTTCTGTTGAGCAAGTAAGCAGGAGGTGGTTGGAGTAGTTGAAAGGAAGAGGCAGGACAAAAGTCCTTCCAGATTTATGTCAGAAGAAGGGATGGAGAAAGTGACATGCCTAAACAGTTACTGTCAGTTTATTTTCTGGGTAAGACCGATAGTAGACAGAGGCGTTCTAAAAATGGGAAGACAAGTCCTTTGTCATGAAAAAAACTTGGCTTAAATGCTTATTTTGCTATTTCAAGGTTCTAATATCACAATATAGAAGGGGGAAAGCTGAGTTGGGGGTATGCATACTTAAGATTGTTTACCCTTCCTTACTTTTAAGTTTCCTTAA